ATTTCTGAAATACAAAAATGTAATTTAGTTAAATCAATTAATACACCTGCAAAGGTGGGCTTCGAGTCTATCCATAACATTCTTCTCTCCACATTCTTCTTCTATTTTCTCTATTCTAGGATCTTATTATAGATTATATCAAGTAACATGAATAATGTAACCACAACCGATTCAGACTAGCCTCTAGTATACCCATTCCATTAGCCAAGCAGAGTATATTCGTGGTTCGGCTAGGCTGCATCAACAACCGATTCAGTCTAGCCCATCATGCCCTATTTGAGTTCTGAAAGGGGTATGCACAACAAATGCACTACCAGACACGCACAGGGCGATAAAAATTAAAAAAAGAAAAACAAATTGTCGACTTGATTAATTTGAATTAACCAAATTAAAATGAAACACAAGTCAATCAGCGGCAGCAACACCCAGCACGCAACGGGGCGGCAGACAGAGACAGCAACAGCTGGCGGGAGCGAAAGAGATAGCGCATTCAAAGCGGGAAGCTGTCGCGTTGCGGCTCCAAACGAGTTGGCATAAAAAGCGCACAGCAAACAAGCATAAAAAATGGAAGAACAAAAAAAACATACATATATAAAAAATTGTTAAATTTTTAATTCCATTAACGCAGTCAGTAGACGCGGATGTTGACAACCCTAAAACACACACACACACACACGCACACATAGACAAGCCGGACAATGAGCAAGCGGAACAACTCGAATGCAGCTCCCAAATGCAATTGGGGTAGACAGTGGCTGCCACAGCCTAATCCTACAGCTCTGATTGAATTTCCCGTTTTGGCGTCGGCTCGTGGCAGCAACTAGCGACAACAGCAACACACACAACAACACACACAACAGCACACACACGCATAGAGCACACGACAACAAAGGCATTTCCAGTCCGAGCTTAGCACACAGATTTGCCCAGTTTTGGCAGCGTCTCTTGCACTAGCAATTGCCTCTGTTTCCTAATAGCCCCACCCAGCCACCTTGCCACCCTGCCACCCCTTGGAGCAGTCAAATCGAAACGTTGCGCTGTTTAGTGCACACCTAATTGAATTTCGCGTGTGCTGCGCTTCAAGTCAGCACCTCGGCCGCGTTGCATTGTCCGGGTGCAGCAGGCCCGACAAGCACTTTGCAAGCGCATTTCACTGCAATTGGATAATTGCATTTAGCCTGCAGCTGCAACAGCCGCAGCAAGTTGCCGGCTGTGTGTCGCGTGTGTTGCAGCATTAGCAGCAATTGCTGACTATGTGCCTTAATTAGTTGGTTCAGCCCGAAAGTAGGCAACGCTTTTTTATTATTGAATTTGCAGAATCCTTCAGAGAGATTCGAGATCTTTGTGATCCTTTGTATTAGGCGAATATGCCTTAAGAAAATGCAACTTAAATAATATAATTTTAATAATTGCTGGGGTTAGCATTGACAAAGATCCAGATCAAAAACTGAATTGATCAGTGCCTTCTGATCTCTAACAAGCGAAAGAATGTGAAAGAAGGTTATAGACGGGTTATTTTGTTACTTATATGGTATTTATATATTAAGGGTATTCAGGACCATAGCCATAAGGGACGGTGGTGTGACCCTTGCAGTCGCGTCTTTGCGATGGGGTCAGCCGTTCGAATGGCGCAGCACCTTGTGGGTTGCCTGTCTGCTGAGCAAGGTTTATCTGATCTCCGAACCTTGTTAGACGTAGATCTAATTCTTTCGCGTCGTTTGTGACGTGCACTCGGCCAGCTTGTACACTACCTAAGCTTGAACTATTCTCAAACAATAAATCTGTTGTGCCATAGCCTCTAGACGCGGACGGAGTAGGCCCACCTGGGCCCACCTAGGTCGACATTTCCGACCCCCATAACTCGGTCAAAACTCAACCGATTTTCACGAGTTTTTGCTTTTTGTTCATGGTTTGGCCTCTAAATCAATTTGGCATCAAAATCATTATCATTCTTGGTGAAAGTTCGTGTGAACATAGGTCAACGTTTTCCGGCCCCATAACTCGATCAAAACTCTTCAGATTTGCACGAGGTTTGGCTCTTTCTTTATTTATTGTTATAAAATACAAAAATTATATAAACCCCGTTTTGTCTGCATAAAGTCCTTTCCAGATTAAGTGATTCGATGCTGACTTTATGCATTTTTTTTTAAATATAACTAAAAGGAAAACTGCAGACATTTATTATAAGCTTCAAGGTAGCAAAAATGCAATTTACTGCACTGAAAAATGTTATTTTTTTTTGTTTTTTATTTTAGGTGCAATCCTTGATGAACATAAATGTGTGCAATATATTTCTCATCAATTTATGATAGTTGTGCAAACATTTGGGAATAGAATTACAGATTGTTTGCTTTCATATTTAGACCAGGCCTCGCGCTGCTGCCCGGCAATTTCCTGTGCTCGCATTTCTAGTTACATTTCAATTTCAATTGCAATTAAAATTAATTGTGTGCATACAACTATGTGACACATTACAGCTGATGGCCACACACACGCATCTATATATATATATATATATATATATAGATATATATGTAGCTCCAACCAGCCCAACGAATCCATTCAAAACTCATGAATACGACAAATTTGTTGCCGCTTCCTTGCGCCATTTTAATTTATTTGAGTAAATTTGTTAAAAAACTTTATGAATTTTATTTATGGCATGCACACGACCGCTCAACCGCCCTTCCCGCCGGCCACCACAAGTGTTAGCATATCATGTTACAGACTATTTCCGCCAAATTTACACACGCAAAATAATTTAACGGCATCAGAGGAGGACGCGGACGCGGACGCAAATGTCCTGGCGTCAGCTGCGTCCCCAGGCAGCGACCTGCGCGCGCGGCGCCAATAAATTTCCATTTAGCCGCCATCAGCTGCAGTCGTGGCCCTGGCCGAGGCCGAGGCCCAGGCCCAGTCGCAGCCCGTCCTGACCATAGCATTCCATTAGAATTGTGAGAATTTGTAATTTTGCATAATTGTTATATTTGGAGTCCGTCGGCCGCAAAACTCATTTGCCAAATGGAAAATTGCCATTTCGTGTCTAATGTTGCACATGCGGCTCATTGCTGAGCCAGCCACCCATCACCCACCACCCACCACCCTACACCCACTACAGCCCGCCCAGTCTAAAGTTTTAGTGGCTGACTGGCGCCCGAGCAGGGACCGACTAGGTGCCGTCGACTGTCGTAGCTGTTGCCCTGCTGCTGCTGTTGGTGTTGTTAGTGAATTAATTTCCAGTGAATAATTTATGCTGAATTATTTGGCCGTATTAAATAGCCGTGCATCGTGCCGTGCACATTTTGCGGCCACTATTTTAGGCTAGCTTTTAGCCCACACAGCACATCCTCTGCACAGCTCCAGGTCCGGGCTTAATGGGTAGCTGCTCGACTACATAGATAATAAATAGCATACCTGAATGTCGACTGACCTCCCCCCGCCCGCCCCCCTCGAGTGTGGTGTTTTATGTAAATCAAATCAAAATGCTATTTCTGAAATTGATTTTTACAATTTTAATGTGCCGACAGCGTAGCGTGTTTTGTAGGTAATCAGCAGGTGCATTGCAGCATAGAGCTTCGGCTGTTGCTCAGGCTTAGCTGGAGAGTTGGGTATAGTAAAAGTTGGACTGTAAATTAAATAGACAATTCCAATGTTCTTCGAGTGATATATGTCCTGAAACACTAAATGATATTATCTATCGACGATATCTAAATTCAAGTACAGGCTCTTAGGTATATGAAAAGGTATAGCAAATCCTTTGTATTGGACTTCAGAAATAGTTCTTGCATATCGAAGGTTTTTTTGGGTTAAGCTATAATATCTCCTACCCCGTCTATCTGTTTCTATGCGAACTAGTCTCCCAGCTATCATCTTGAAAAATTCGCTTTATTTTGAAGGTAGTACGTCGAGCCACTGTATCATATATCTGCCATAGGAACGATCGGTGTTAAATTAAGTTCTTGTTTGAAAAACGTTTTTGCTTCTCAAGATATCTTAACCAAGCTCTGCATCGTCTACATGCAATCTTATCAATATCCGACTTATTATATATAGTATTGATTTCCAAAATAATTTCTTCAATCTCAGCATTTAGGAGCTTCACTAGTCTCACGTATCCGCCTTGGCAGATTTGCAGAAGATACCACGTGTATTAATATTTGCGTTATAATAATTTGTATTTTCGCCTATCGGCAGATATCTATTTCTCACATGTATCGCTTACACATGCGAAAGGGGAAATCTATTGAACTTTCACATATTTCCAAATATCTTATCAGATGGTTATTAATGGTTGACTGCCTTCTTTCGACGTTTCCCCTATGAATTTGGACTTTCGCTATGGCTGTGAGCCGTTTCATGGGAAATTCTTTGGTCTAATTAAGAGTTATGCAGAGATGCAAAAGGCGCCAACTGGGCGGCAGTTGCATCCAGAGCTGATGTCTGTTCATCAACTGGGCAAAGTAGAGGCCGACGAGCAGTTTGGTTGAGTGACGAGCGGACTCGACTTTGCGGCAAATGCAATTAATTTAAATCAATTGATTCGTTTGAGGACAATTTAATTGTATGCAGACAGCGACTTCGGCAGCGCTGCATTCTGTGTGGCAGAGAAATGCAAAAGCGAAGAAATAAAAACTCAAATCGATTGTAGATTATTTGTCATAAGGCTGTAATTGTCTTTAATTGAATCGAATTGAGTTTGAGGTGCATATGACAACATTAAAGGCGACGCAAAGTCGGCCCGCATGCGCTGCAGTCGCAGTCGCTGTCGCAGTCGCTGTCGCTGTCGGCGTTGCAGTCGCCGTCGACATCGTCGTCAATTGAATTGCATTTAAATTACAAGTTCGCCCAGCCTCAATACTGAAATGCTCGTAACAGTTCGAGTACGTGATTGGCAAGTAAATTAATCAAAATTACTGACAATCTTTAACCAATTTGTTTATCTGTATCTTTTTATTCATCAATATTTGTTTTGTTGTTCGTATTTACAGCTCGGTCCTGCAGCTGCGGGCAGAGGAATGTTTTGCTATCAGTGCCCGCCCGCCCTGCATCCGTGCGGTCCGCATCCGCCGCGTCTGCCTACACTCGACTATCCATTTGCTGCCACCCATCCATGTGAGTATGAAATACAAATGTATCTGTTAGATACTTTCTGTTAGATAGCAGCTCAGCCGAACAGCTGCTCGCTTAGTGCCTGCCAAATGCCCATCAGCTCTCAATTGAGTTTAGATAAAAAGCCAATGATAATCGCCCGACAACGGATTATATTCTACTTTGTATCTTGTAGTTACATTAACGAATTATTCTATTAGTGGCACGCTGAATGAAAAACGTGCAACGGGCTCAACGATGGGCTGCGAGGGGGTAGGGCGGGCATCACGACTAGGACTTTGTCGCATATCGGATTACATGGACGCACATGTCAAGGGTTTGCATTGGGCTTCGTCTGTTCCTGTTGTTGTTGCATGAATTATGCGCAGAACTTTGTGCCGAATTGGTCAGAGGGTAAGTGTGTGCACAAGTGCCAATGAAAAGGAGAGAGAGAGAGAGAGAGAGAGGGAGAGAGAGAGTGAGAACAATATAGTGAGCGAGATGGAGAGTGAACTAAGCAAAGGGAGTGTTATTGAGTGTCGATTTCGCATCTAATTAATTATTCTTAGATTCCATAAACTGACAAATTTGCTTAGCACAGAATCTTGCCATTACGAATACAAAAATAATTTGGCAACTATTGCAAATTTTATTCCCAATGGAGGTAGAAATATGATAACCTCCAGATAAAGAGAAAAGTAAAGATTAATTTATAATACAAATAAATGTTTCTAGATCTCACTGTCCAATCGTAAGGATAGGCTTAATATATACTTTGATATCAATTTATTTTTATATTAAGATAAAAAATGTTGATTATAATCAACAAATTTAAAGAGCTAGAGCTATAGTGGAGACAGGGGAAAGAATAGAGAATAAACTCAAGGGGACAGAGAGAGAAAGGAAAACAAATTGCAAGAGAATAACTTAAGGTGTATAGAGATCCATCTTTATTTGACTGCCCAAGCAACTGTGTCAATACAAGATATATTATAATCAAAGCATAAGCCCATGACTCTTAATTGAATTCATGAGAATCGCATAGAAGGGCATTATGCAATGTTGGAGAAACTATTCATTGACATAACAAATATTACAAATTTCAAATGTGCCAAACACTTTTGCTCTTTCTAGTTAAAAGTAGCCATTAAAAAATATAATACATTTTTTGGAGGAGCTACTGTCTCAGATAGAACAAATTAGTTTGTTATTACCCAACACTATGCAATTTAGTTATGCACTCGAGCTGCCACCTTGACGCTGATTGCACTTTATGAAAGTGCTCAAAATATGATTTTTATTTGTTTTTATCATAATTCCTCTGCCAGCATAACGAAGCTTAGCATGCAGAGTGAGTCAGTCAGAAACTCTGTGACTGACAATTCGCGGAATGGCAGGGCATAAAAATTCCATTAAACGCTGTTCGACGAATGTCGAAAGAAAACCACAGGGCAATTCGATTTTCTATGCCCCGCCTGCCCCTCCCCTCCGCTACACAGCAATAATAAACTTTGCCTGTGCACAAGGTCCAATAGGAGCTCCCCATCGTTGCCAGATAACTATAATTGAATAATAAAAAAAAAAAACAACAACGCAACCAAAACCAAACCAAAACGAAGCGAAGCGAGGCGGCAACTCAATCGATATTCGGCGCGAGATTCAAAGGAGTGGCTGCCTCCGCAAAGGGCGCCCAAGAAGTGAGGTTAGTTTTTGGGTTCGGTTTCGTATTTGGCACGGATCTCGTATCATGCAATTATGCGGCAAAGCGTTAATGCTTTGGCATGCAAATTTCCTTCAGTCGCTGGAATGTGCGAAAGTGTCGCTCAGATATGGCAAAACTTCAGCGCGATTTCGTCAGCTGCATTTACCCAAATCCAAATCAAAATCAAAGTGCCACCTGCCGCCAATAACTGTTTTTTTTATTTTTTTTATTGATTTTTGGCTGCATGTCGCACATAAAAGGCGCCGACAAAGACGAATTTGTCGATACGTCTGACAATTTGCTGGGCAAATTGCAGCGCATTTAGTTTTTGGGATGCCTGAGCGAATGTACGAGTACTTAATGGGATTAGCCGAAGACTTACGAACGCATTACATAAACTTCATATATAGATAGTGCCGGGAGGGCGAAGGGGCCCATTACTCTTATATATAATGCATGAGCCTTCTGCACGTAGAGCTGGCTCACGTCCTGCTCTCTAATCAGCTGCTGCTTTTGCTGCCCAGAAGGTGCAAATTCCATTTTGGCCCCGACTGATTTATTCAATATGACAGACAGACAGAGGGACAGACGGACAGAGGGACAGACAGACTGGAGGCAGCTTGTACTTACAACTTGCAACTTATGCCACATAATGTGGCAAGCTACGCATATTTGCGGCTTATTACCTAACAAATTCAACTGTCGCTTATGATTTGAGTCGAGACGAGTTCTGCCTGAGCCACACACACGTGTGTGAAGCAGGTGTTACTAATGCAATTTATAAATTGTGGCTGCTTAGCAGTTACTTGACTATCTACTCTGTGACTGCTAATGACTTAAGAGTTCAAATATGAGTTGAATTACGAGCGACAAATATTAATGTCATAAGGCTATAATAATGCCTAGAAGACGCAGTCATTCTGCGATAACTTGTGTTTCAATTAAAGAACAACATCTGAAATTCATACAAAATATGACACTCAAAGTTTGACGAGGGGAAACTTTTTGCTGAAAAACATATTAGTTACCTTTTTTTATTGATAATATAAGCTTATCATATTTCATTACAATTTCTCTTGCTATTTCTCTTCCTATTCCTTTTCCTATTCGTATTCCTATTACCATTCCTACTCCGATTCCTTTTCTTTTTTTATTTCTATTCAAATTCCTATACCTATTTCTATTCCTGTACCTATTCCTATTCCTACTTCTATTTTTATTCGTATGACTTTCTATTCTTATTCTTAGTCTTATGTCTATTCTTATTCTTAGTCTTACGCCTATTCTTATTCCTCCTCCGATTGCTATTCTTATTCCCAGTTCAATTTCCATTTATATTTCTTTATCAACACATATTCTTATTCCTTTTACTATTCACATTTTTCTTACCTATTTTTACTCCTATTCCTTTTCGTATTCCTATTTTATTGTTCTATTCCCATTTATCATTTCATTCCTAAACCTACATTTATTCCTATTCCTATAATTATTCCTATTCCGATATCTATTAGTATTCCATTTCCTATAATTTTTCATATTCCTATATTTCCTATTCCTTTTCCTCATATTGAGATGAAAATTAGCCCCAATTTTGGTTAACATTGAATCTAGACATGGATTCAAGGATGTCGTAAGCCAGCTTCACGAATTATTAAGGTAGCGGGTGAATTCGAACTTTAAAAAGAAAGTTTATGGTTCGAATTTTACGCAAATATCTAGATTCACTTAAATCTTAGTCGCATCTATAAAAGTAAGGTAAATAGTTTGTAACTAATCCATTTATGTTTGTCATAGTCGATAGAGCTTGGCAAACGGAAACCCACCTTAGTTATACATATTTCATTGCGTATACATGAAATAGGTAAGGTATCAAGTGCGACACTTTACACAAATCAGAAAGGCTCAACATTTGCATGGCTAATTCAATTTAGTCTCGTTTCGTGATTCGTGTTTTGTGATTCCGCCACTCGACACCAAGAACGCTTCTCAATTGCTAAACTAATTTAAAATTTCGAGCGCGTGCGACATCGTCGAGAGTTGAGAACTGAGAACTGAGTGCTCGATGCGGGACTCTGAAATCGAAACCGTGGCACGGGCTGGGCGGGGGTACGGGCCAAAGGGCTGCCCTATGCATTGGGAATTGGGGAAATCAAGCAAAAGATGGAAATGTCAAAAAAGTGTCGCAAGAAATTTGCGAGCTGGCATGTTGCATGAGAAACTGGGCCAAAACTAATTTACTGCAAAACTATAATAAATGTTAATTTGTCTGAGATTACGCAAGACGCACACAGAGAGAGAGAGAGAGAGAGAGAGAGAGAGAGAGAGAAAGAGAGAGGGAGAGAGAAAGAGGGAGAGAGAGGGCAAAAATCGAATGAAAATTGATTTTCTGGCTCAGTGTGTATATCTCACAGATGAAGTCAAAGTCAAGCTGCATGCCAATCAAGCAGCAGACACAGACACAAAAAGTTGCAGACAAGTATCTTACAGATACATAGATACAAATACAGACACAGACACAGGCACAGATACAGCCACAGCCACAGCTACACAGCAGCCGAGGCAGCCAGTGCCAGGGGTAGCTGATTGCAAGGACTCTCGACAGAGTCAGGACCAAAAATCCCTTAATGACGGTTTCGCTTGTTATGCCAAATGTTTAAAAATTGAATTATCTCCCATTACAGTCGCAGCTAACGAGCGGGGCGGCAGACAGACACAGTGCGAGAAAGTGAGAGAGAGAGAGAGAGAAAAAGAAGGGATGAGCGAGTGTTGAGTAGAAATAGAGAGGTCTTGCTATGCCCTGTAAAGACGGGGCAAAGAGGTTGTATGAGCTGTATGGATGCTTTTTTTATTAGGTATTAATATGTTTGAAAAGTTGTGGCTTTCGACAATAAAAAATATTGTGTTAGAGCTCTTATACGAAAATATTTCTTTCTTACAAGTTCCAATGATTTGTTCATTGTTTTTCTTTCGCGTATCTCCTTTGGTTAGGATTATATCTAAGTATCCGCATTAAAAATAAGAAACAAAATATCATATATATTTCATTATCAGCCTCATATTTCAGTTCGGTAAACAAAATTTCAGTTTTAGATTTCTACACACAGGGTATTTAAATGTTGTTCATTATCTAGCTTTAGCCTTCTTACATATATATTGTACGTGCTGTGTGTGTGTCGGCGTGTGCTCTGTGTGCCCTGCTCTGCGTACTTTTTGAATCAATTTGCCAACAAGGATTTGTTAATCCTGTCTTCCTGACAAGTGCGGTTAGTTGAGTTGTTGTTGCTGCTGCTGCTGCTGGTGCTGCTGCTGCCTGGCTGACATTTGATGTTTGGTCTAGTAGGCAGGTCGATGCTTTCAGCATGAAATTCTTATTGAAAGCAGCAGCAGCGAGCGGGTGAGTACGAGCAGTTGGAGAGGGGTTGAAGCTGGGGCGTTTATAGAGAATTGAGCCCGGTGAGCGCTTTGGGGATTTGCACTGGCAACCTAATTGTGCTAATTGCCGTTGCCGATGCCGTTTGCTTTTTGGCCTCAAACCGTAGGCCATGCCACATGCCACATGTTCAAGGCGTCCATTTGCATTTCAAGCGATTATTGGCAACAAAAAATTTGATTAGCCCGAAAACGAAACGAAACGAGCCAAAGAGTGCACCTAGCACGGCTCATTGACTATTTCATTAGCCAAGGCACTTTTCGGAGCCGATACTTAGCCCAAATATGTGTGTTAGAGCTGCCAAACTGTCGGCCAAATGCGTGCTTCATTAGCAAATGTCAAGTGGCAGTTGGCAGTCGGCAGGTGGCAGTTGCAACTTGTGCAACTTAGCTGCAAAAATTTTCCAATTATTTTCATAATTAAATATTAATAGCAGACACAAATGGGTAGCAGCTGGCATAGCGACACTTTGATAAGCAGCCGGCAAAAGTTCTTTCCCAGTTGTGAGCCAAACAACATTAGAGCGCATTAGATGTACTCCCCAGGGAGGGCGTGGCAGCCTGGTACACGACCTTCAGGCAAATGGCGCAAATGAGCGTCCAAGGGCTGCTAACAACATTTTCAAGCTAATCGGATTATGCAACCTTTCCAGCAAAAAAAAAAATTAAAAAAGACAAATGCTTGACACAGCGGCCTGGGAGAGCGTTGTCCTGGAGCTTAGGAGCGTCAGCAGCAAGAAATTAAAATTAAATTTTCCAATTTGCTAGCTAATTATTTATTTAAAATCAAATTGAAAATTAATTTTACAACATGGCAAAAGGCTCAACAACAACAACAATGAAACGTCCGAACATTTTCAGCCTCAGTTTTTGGCCTTTTCTGTGCTGCCTTCTGCCGGGGTCAAGTGCGGCTGTCAACATGCTCAGCCTTAACGATCTATGCCCACTCTCTCTGTCTCTCTCCTCTCTCTCTCCATCTCTCTCTTTCGCTCTATCTCTCTGTGCTTCGCTTGCGTTTGGTCTGCTCAAAAGGCAGTTATAAAATATTTTGTAGCATACAAAATGGCGCTGCTGCTAGAAAATTCAATTAGCCTGCAATTTTGGCAACAGCTGCCTTTCAGCAAATGCCTCATCCTGCCGCCGGCCAGCATATTTTTAGTCTCACACATTTTATAACTGGCACATAGATGGGTCCAAGTAAGGAGTTGGCAAAGTTATATACTTATTCCAAGCACCGAAGTTCAGTTACTCTTGATGTGCATTTTTATGTGTAAGGGAACCGTACTCAAAGCGATTACGAAATTTAACTCGAGCTCTTAGATATTTGGGACCATAATTGAATCTAACTATACCAAATTTTAAAACAATGCTGATCGGATTTTGATTTTTTGACTCTGAAGTCAACAAATCCCAGACGGCATAAATAAACTTGATTATTCAAATATACAAATGATAATTATGATGAAAAAAATATTTGTATTTATAATCCTCCACAAATTTCTGCAAAATTGAATTTGTATTTCCCCTATAAATTAATGTTAATATTTTGAGAAACTTATCACGAAACGAATTTCAAAAGTCTTAAAAATAGTCTTATACAATCTTTCCATTACTGCATGAAGAGGCAAATCTTACTAATGGTTCGATAAATGCCTTCGTCATAGTCTCTTATCCAACACTGTAACCGGCTTAGTGGCGCTTATGCTGCCTGAGCTTATGCACCAACACCAACAGCAGACCGGGAACTGCAACTATCTCAATTATGCCTGCTAATGCAAACACCTTGGGATAGCTAATGCCTAATTCCTTGACTGTAACTTCCGTGTTCTCTTCCCTGATTGCAGACACCAGCTACTCGTATCATCCTGCCATACATGATGAGACTTTTGTGCGGCGCAAGCAGCGACGAAATCGCACAACCTTCACACTGCAACAGGTAAGCAAACTATCCGAACAGAATAAAGAAAAACAAGATGAAAATAAAATGAAAAGCTAAGAGAAAACCTTAAATTTTTTATGTTTTCGGCATCAGCTGGAGGAGCTGGAAACGGCATTTGCCCAGACCCATTATCCGGATGTGTTTACGCGCGAGGATCTGGCGATGAAAATTAACTTAACGGAGGCGCGAGTGCAGGTGAGTTAACTGTCAGCAGAGACTGTGACTGTGACTGTGATTTTCTGTATGCGGCCGGTCAACCCTTCGAAATTATGCAAAAATATATTCAAGAGCCGAAAAAAGGTTAAGTTAAAAACAAAAATATGAACGAGAAATGGCAGAAAATGAAATAAAATTTCGTTCATAAATTGTATCAAATTTCACAAGAATAGCGAACTGGGAAACCCTAGCCCGGTCACGCAGCCTGATCAAAGCTCAAAGCCTCGCCCACTCTCACTATTAATAATGCATATGCATGTCGTATATAAGGAGCGGCAGAGAGCAGAAGGGGTAGCTCGTTGGGGTCATGTACAACCTAATGCAATAACTGCCTTTAAAAATATTCTATATACATTTTGAATGAAGCAAATATGCAAAGTTCTTATAAAAGCCAGAAGCTGCTCTCTCTCTCTCTCTCGCTCTCTCTTTCTTAACTTGGCCAGCTTCTGGGAAAAATGTTGCAGGGCAGGGCAATTCTCGTAATAAATCTAATTTATTTTTCAATATACAGTTGGTTGCGAGTTTTATGATAGACAGCTTTGAAAGCTTTGTAGCGGCATTTTGACAAGGCAACAAGAAGAAAGAAATATTTGCAAAAAGTCTATAACGGGCAGAAGCCAGCAGCTCTATTTTGTGAGAAGCGCAGAGAAGAGCTCATTTTTGTTTAGTCTATGATAAGTTATATCTGTCTTGGAATTTTACAAGTTTTTTTTAATATTCTCATTAGTTTAGTTTTGAGTGTAGTTATTTTATGGAACTCGCATAAATCAGCTCATCTAGAGAAATTCCTGGGCTTGCCTGGAAGCAAGACAATTAAGAACAACGGCAAGAAATTAGATAAAATATATTAAAGGGGGAAATATTTTGAGCTTCGAGTGGAGACTTAATTTTACTTATATTTATTTATAATTCTGACTAGATCTTATGCCTACACCTGCTGCCTTTTGTCCGGGTATATTGACTACTTACTCATATTTAAATTCATTCATAATTTTCTTTTTGCCTGTCCCAAATTAGTCAGCGCTTGGCATTGCCAAATTGTGGCTGCACATTGAAATCTATGAACTTATGCGAATAATTGTGGTTGCATGCAAATTAAGTCAGAGAATCAGTGAAATTGCAATTGGACTTGTCTTGAGTGAGAATTGCGAGCTGCTATCATTAGCAATGACAATTTGCGACACTGTGAGCGAGATATTGTCGGATTAGTGCAGGGGCAGCTGACAATTAGCGGATCTACTTCCACACTTGGAGGCATTCGCTGAAGTCGTGGGTGGCTGGCACTCAGGCACGTTGCCCATGCGGGGGCGGCCAGAGAAAGATGAAGACTGAGCAAATTATGTGGCAGAAAACTTAATGAGGATGCAACGTTAACTAGACACGTAGCTTGTGAGATGTGTTGCGATAAGTGCGCCACCCACACACAGGTGGCTATTAGAAACACTTTGGTGGCGTTAGGCGATGACAATGACGCACTCTTGACTATTTCCGGCACAATTAGCGGCACAGTGTGCCCGGCTTCATCCTGCGAGCCCAGCAACCCCTCGACCTGGCCAGAGCTGGCAAGGTTCCCAGGCGCAACCTGATATTTTCAATTAAATTTGCTACAAATTTATATGTCAAACGTCCAACAATGGGACACTTGTGGCAAACACGTGTACTTGTCAGCCTAACAAAGTTATGTAGATGCCCAGCCATACAAACACCCAGGTCGCCCGCTTGTCAGCTCGCTGACTTCTGTCCAAGTTTCCAACTCAAACTGGCCTTTAAATGTCAGACGCATAAAAAAAAATAAAATAAAATCATGAAAAATACAGCAAAAAGCCAACGGAAAAAAAATGGAAGGAACAAAAACAATTGGTGAGAGTCGTTTTTGGGGCCGGGCTTAGTCTGGGATTTCGATAATGGAATGAATGCCAAATATTTTGATGAGGGTGGCTTTGCGCAGCGCATTTTCAGCGACCGCATTTTGACACATTTTCCCAAAATGCGAAAATAAATTTTATAATAAAATTTATTATGTACTACGTTTGATTCCGTCGCCCAACCCCTCGCCAGCTCGTTTGACGCTCACTTGGACTCGTAAAGCCGGGTACTTGGTAACCTGATATGTTTTTGCCACTGTCAATTTTTGATGTTCGGCGTCTGTCGCGACGCATTTCGTTCCGAAGCAAAATCATTTACTTAATGCATATCCGTGAGGCTGTGTAAGCCAGGCTGAGTTTTGTTAAGACGGGTCGCACTCTCCCTTTCTTCCTGCCCGTCTCACTCTCTCTTTTTTGCTCCGTCTAGACGTCAACTGATTGGTAATATACTATGTATACCAGGCCTTGACAAAGACGAAGTGCTTTGAAGTTAAGCTAATGTGTCAGTGCTTGCTTATAAACGATATTGATTGATAAATCGGCTGCAAGTAAGATTCAATTTAAGTTGACTAAAAGTATGAGTAGCAAACAACTGCGCACAGATTTCATATTTTTGATGTTTTAAAATGACGATGAAAAGATATTTTTAAAGATCGATGAAGATAGACAGTCATTGATAAGATACTTTAAAATATGCTTCAAAATTTCTCTTAGATGCCATTTCCGAAATTATTTTTGATCAAGAAGCGCATTTTTGTGTCCATGCCCAACTTTCGACGCGTAAATTTCATATAATTTTAAAACTATTGTCACAAGAGGCTGGAAAGAGGTAGATATTTTTATTATAGAAGATAATCGGATAAGATTAAACTGAGTTATAAAATTATGTTGCCATATTTCGATGCAGAATTGATAATGAGGCCAAGACATGAACAAAAGGCCAAACCTTTTTAAAATCGGATGAGATTTGACTGAGTTATGAGGGTGGAATATATTGATCCAAGTCTATATAGGATATTTGAGGGTACCATTTTGACATGGATTTTGACCAAAAATTACGTTGCCATATTTTAATGCAGAATTGATAATGAGGCCAAACCATGAACAAAAAGCCAAACCTTTTGGAAATCGGATGAGATTTGACCAAGTTATGGGGATGGGAAGTTTTGACTAAGTCTATATAGGATATTTGAGGGTACCATTTTGGCATGGATTTTGACCAAAAATTATGTTACCAGATTTTGATGCAGAATTGATATTGAGGCCAAAGCATGAACAAAAAGCCAAACCTTATTAAAATCGGATGAGATTTGACCGAGTTATGGGGATGGGAAGTTTTGACTAAGTCTATATAGGATATTTGAGGGTACCATTTTGACATGGATTTTGACCAAAAATTACGTTGCCATATTTTGATGCAGAATTGATAATGAGGCCAAACCATGAACAAAAAGCCAAACCTTTTGGAAATCGGATGAGATTTGACCAAGTTATGGGGATGGGAAGTTTTGACTAAGTCTATATAGGATATTTGAGGGTACCATTTTGACATGGATTTTGACTAAAAATTATGTTGCCATATTTTGATGCAGAATTGATATTGAGGCCAAACCATGAACAAAAAGCCGAACCTTTTGGAAATCGGATGAGATTTGACCAAGTTATGGGGATGGGAAATTTTGACTAAGTCTATATGGGATATTCGAGGATACCATTTTGACATGAATTTCGACCAAAAATTATGTTGCCATATTTTGATGCAGAATTGATATTGAGGCCAAACCATGAACAAAAAGCCGAACCTTTTGAAAATCGGATGAGATTTGACCAAGTTATGGGGATGGGAAGTTTTAACTAAGTCTATATAGGATATTTGAGGGTACCATTTTGGCATGGATTTTGACCAAAAATTATGTTACCAGATTTTGATGCAGAATTGATATTGGGGCCAAAGCATGAACAAAAAGCCAAACCTTATTAAAATCGGATGAGATTTGACCGAGTTATGGGGATGGGAAGTTTTGACTAAGTCTATATAGGATATTTGAGGGTACCATTTTGACATGGATTTTGACCAAAAATTACGTTGCCATATTTTGATGCAGAATTGATAATGAGGCCAAACCATGAACAAAAAGCCGAACCTTTTGAAAATCGGATGAGATTTGACCAAGTTATGGGGATGGGAAGTTTTAACTAAGTCTATATTGGATATTTGAGGGTACCATTTTGACATGGATTTTGACTAAAAATTACGTTGCCATATTTTGATGCAGAATTGATATTGAGGCCAAACCATGAACAAAAAGCCGAACCTTTTGGAAATCGGATGAGATTTGACCAAGTTATGGGGATGGGAAGTTTTGACTAAGTCTATATAGGATATTCGAGGATACCATTTTGACATGAATTTCGACCAAAAATTATGTTGCCATATTTTGATGCAGAATTGATATTGAGGCCAAACCATGAACAAAAAGCCGAACCTTTTGAAAATCGGATGAGATTTGACCAAGTTATGGGGATGGGAAGTTTTCACTAAGTCTATATAGGATATTTGAGGGTACCATTTTGGCATGGATTTTGACCAAAAATTATGTTACCAGATTTTGATGCAGAATTGATATTGGGGCCAAAGCATGAACAAAAAGCCAAACCTTATTAAAATCGGATGAGATTTGACCGAGTTATGGGGATGGGAAGTTTTGACTAAGTCTATATAGGATATTTGAGGGTACCATTTTGACATGGATTTTGACCAAAAATTACGTTGCCATATTTTGATGCAGAATTGATAATGAGGCCAAACCATGAACAAAAAGCCGAACCTTTTGAAAATCGGATGAGATTTGACCAAGTTATGGGGATGGGAAGTTTTAACTAAGTCTATATAGGATATTTGAGGGTACCATTTTGACATGGATTTTGACCAAAAATTACGTTGCCATATTTTGATGCAGAATTGATATTGAGGCCAAACCATGAACAAAAAGCCAAACCTTTTGAAAATCGGATGAGATTTGACCAAGTTATGGGGATGGGAAGTTTTAACTAAGTCTATATAGGATATTTGAGGGTACCATTTTGACATGGATTTTGACTAAAAATTACGTT